CTTCCCTTCTGCATTCAGACTTCACCAACATCCATGTGAAGCGATGCCCCAAGGACTGTGCTCACAATAAACTTTCTGTGAAGCTTTTCCACACAGCTCCTTCTACCTGTGCTTCCAAGCACTCAGAATGGCAAAAGGCACACCTGTCCTGCAGGTGAAAGGGGGCATTAATAACACCTTAGGATTCAACCAAGGGGCCCTTGAAGATGTGAGCAGGCCAGATGTTAAATAACACTCCTCATCAAAGAGGCATAGACAGACCTGACATTTGACCAGTGGCTTTTCAGGGTTAGGGGATCAAGAATCAATTTGGGATTTCTGGGCCCTCAACTAAATCTACAAAGTAAATGTGAACATGTTTCAGGGCAGCTAATGCCATAAGGGACAACACAGAAATGGACTGGAATGCAGGGGGACATTTCACACCTTGAATGATCATAAAGATGTTCATGAATCAAAGCATCACTAATTCTTGGAATCGTGTGACAGAAGTTTGGTTCTCAAAGTTCTTTTTTATCCTTAAAAACTTCTGATTCCCAAAGCAGATATGAGATAGTTTTCATGGAAATAAACCCCAAATCTCAACAAGGAAACAGTTGTACACTAAAGGAGGGATGATTTAGATTAGATCTAAGTCAGGTTTTTATAATGTGGGTGGTAAAGACAGGCACAGGTTGCCCACAGAGAAGATGGGTGCTCCATTCCTGGAAATATTCAAGGTCAGGTTGGATGGGGCTTGGAGCAACCTGGTCTACTGCAAGGTGTCCCTGCCCATGGCAGAGGGTTGGACTTGATGGTCTTTAAAAGGTCCCATCCAACACAAACCACTCCACAATGCTATGAAAATGGACACATCTAATTTCAGCCTCCCAATGAAAACTAAAAATGTGAACGTCATGGGTTCAAAGATCCAAAAGAAAATGAAACATTCCAATAAGAGTAAGTTTTTAAAAGTTTCTGTGTTTTTAGTCACTCTCCTGGCTCAGAAGCCTGATTCATGGGGCTGGCAATGCCAAGGAATGACCCTAGAGGAATACCAACAGAGAAGCCAGAAGCTCAAGGTTGTCTTCCATACTCTCTGTCAGAAATTCTGTCTGCACCCAGACTTGAGAAGATTTGAGAACCTGCAGCCAACCCCCAGCCAAAGTGAAGTCACCCATGTGTGCAGCCAGAAGATAAGGCAGATGACAGATAAAAGGCAGGGAGTAGAAAGAAGCCCTCAGGTGTTACCATCCAGATAGCGAGTGCCGTAGGAGCTCTCAGGGAACAGCCCCCTCATGTAGGTAATGCAGGACACAGAGATGGCCAGGAGCCTTTTCACCAGCACCAGGGACTGCTGCTCTGTGGTGATGCTCTCAGGGAACAGCACTGCCTCCTGCAAAAGCAACGCCACAAATAGCACCTTCTTAAGTGTAACACAGATTATATTTAGAAACAAGTCTCAGCAGGTGGGAAGAGGGTAACTTGGAAATATAACACGAAATTTTAAGGTTTCTCTGGTGTTTAAGCTAGGCAGGGAAGACTCGTGTGTGAGGTGGGTGGATTAAATGATTTAAGGGCAGAGATCAATAGATCTGACATCATTACCCAGATGCAGAGTGCACTGGTTGGATGTGCCCTCCCCTTTATCACTTTATTCCCACCCCCTCCACCGCACCAATGCTGGCACCCAACAGAGAGCCACTCCTCAAAAAGGTGTGCAGTTTTAACTGGGGAGTCACACAAGCCCAAAGGCTGCTGTGGTGCTCTGACAGCAGCCTGAGTTGCCAACAGAGTGATTTTTAACTCCAAGCTGTAAAACAGCACCTGGAGCTACAGTAAATACACACTGCATGATGCCAACACGAACAATGCAGTGGACACTGCGCTAAATTTAGTTCTTCTGTTACTTTATTGCTGTTCTTCCTGCTAATAAAGCTCTGTGAACACCTAATGAGCCTACATTTATTGAGTCAAATCATGTCAGAGCCCCACTCTGCCTCTCACTGAATTGGAATGAATCCAACTAAAAACAGTGCAGACAACAGAAAGGTTTCCTGCCTCTGCAGGTCCCAAACTGAGAGCTAAGATTGTCTGCACCACCATATTTTCATTTTTTACCTTAGAGGGCTTTTTCTTTTGCTTGACTAGCTGCTGAACAGCCATCCTGTGTTTCAAAGACCTGCCTTCCACTTGTAACTAAACCCTGAAAAATAAAGAAGGCATGAGACACGTAGAGAGCACAGTTACTGCTATTTCTCATCTATGTTAAAGTAAGAATGAAATTCCTCAGAGTTTGAAGGCCAATTGCCAGGAAGGACAGGTAAAGCAAAGCAAACCAAGGGTACTCCATGGCACTGAGCCTGCAGAGTGTGAAAATTCCTGCTCACTGGTAAACAATCAATAGTATTTGAAATTCAGGGCCACAAGTGCACCTGGTGTCAGTCGGTGCCACTTCAGAATGCATTTCTCATATTCCAAACCACAAATGTTAATTCCTAAACCATTAGAAAGTGTGAAGGGGGAATGTGAAAGAACTGGAGGTCTGCCAATAGCAGTTAATAACTTAGCAAGGGTAAGCAGGAAACGTGCTAACATCAGTCTTGGCCAGAATAAGGGAATAATTCTTCTGGGACACCTTGAAAGGTAAAAAAAAAAAAGAAAGAAAAAAGGGAGAGTCCCAATTGTTTCAGTTAGACAAGCTTGGATTGAAGAAGAAAATACTCATTTTACCAGAATGGAGAGCTGATTGGTACAGGCAATAACACTGGATATTCCATGTTTCTCACTTGAGTGAGGTGCTTGATTTAGCACCATCTGACAATCCTGATTAAAAACTTCCATTAGCTGGAATTAACAAGCCCTGCGTTAACTGGTTTGAAAAATGACTTGCTGGGAGATCTCCACATCTCATTGTAAATGGGGGATGTTAATGAAAGGAAACACCACCAACAGGTCCCAGAGGGACGGTGCTGTGTCCGCAGCTACTCAACTTCCCCAGTAACAATTAAAGTAATAGCACAAACACGGCAGGGTGATTTAACTCCTGACCTAATGCAGCCTTTTATTAACTCAGCTGATCAAACCTTGTTCTGCATTTGCACCTTTTGTGCCTTCTCTTTTTTTCTCCCGTGGAAGGCTCGTTTCCATTTGTTGGCAGTCATTAAGACATGTTGATCGGAACACGGTGACAGCTTTTATGCTAAATTTAGCGCTTCATTTAGTAATGAGGACAGATTACAGCTATAAAAGTATATTTAAACAAATACACACCTGCAAAATTTTTAACGTGTTAAATATTTTAGCAAAGTAGCTTTTTTTTTTTTTTTTTTTTACCTAGGCACTGTGAGCAGGACTGGAATGCAATCAAAGCAGACAAAGATGTTGTAATTACAACGTGAGGTTATTAACTAAATAAAGGTGATTTAGGTGAGAAAAAGTTGTGAGAAAACATGTTTTATGAACCATACAATATTTATATTTATTTTCTGAGGAGGAAACATAACCCAGACCAAGCTGACCCATTACAACCCAGCCGTTCAGGTACAAGATACAAGATTTTGGTATCAGTGTCTCACCAGGGCTGGAAGGACAGAACTTGCCCTGGAACTCCAATGCTCCCCCACTCTGCAGTCACCTTATCACTGAATATCAGCAAATTAGTACTGAAAGGGAAAAGATAAATTGCATCTTTAGGAACGTACTGCTCGGTGACACCCTCAGCCCTGCACCCCTCACTCTGCCCCTTGTGCCTGCTGTTGGAAAGGTGAGGAACCACAGCCCTTAAAAAAAGCAGCCATGGCTCCGAAAATGGGTTTTACTCATTTTTTTTGAGAGGTTTCTGAGGGGTTTTATGAGCGGAAGCCCAGGCCCGGTCGGGGTGCACAGGGGGCTGGGTCCTGCCCCTCCACAGCAGCACCGTGAGGAACCCCTGAGACCCGAGGGGCGGCGGGGCTGAGGCGCGGGAGCCGTGAGGCGCTGAGGGAGCGCTGAGGGAGCGCTGCGGGAGCGGGGAAAGCCCCAGAGACAGAGAGGGGCTCCCGAGGGGAGCGGCTCCCTAAGGTGTTTGGGGTCCCTGAGGTGTTTGGGGTCCCCTGAGGTGCTTGGGGTCCCTGAGGTGCTGGGAAGCGCTGTGAGGCACGGGCGGACCTCAGACACGGAGGGGTCCCTCAGGAGCTCCGGACCCCGTGAGGCGCCCCGTAAGGAGCTCCCTGAGGAGCCCCTAAAGGACAATGGGGGACCCTCCTGGGGCACGGGAGCCCGTAGGGTGCTGAGGGCTGCCCTAAAGCGCAGCCTTGTCCAGCCAGGCGGTTCCCCTACCTGTACCGCCCTCCGCGGGCTCCTTCAGCCACGGCGCCGCCGGAGCCCCGGGCGTGGGCGGTGCTGAGGGCAGGAGGCGGCGGGGGCGGCCCAAGCCTTGAGGCGGAGGCTTGACCCGACCCTGCTCTGCACCTGCCTCTGTTCGCGGCTTGTCGCTTGTCCCTGTTCTCATGGCTATGCCTGCCCTTGCTCTGCCCCTCTATCTGTCCCTATCTCCGTCCCTATCCCTGGCCATGTCTCTGTTTTGTCCTTGCTTCTGTATCTGCTCCTGTCCCTATCCCTGCTGCTCTGTCCCAGGAATTCGGGCAGGACAAAGTCCTGCAAAAGCACAACCATGGCAGGGGCAGTGGTGTGGTATCTTACCTGCTTAAAATCACTTTAGAGTAAAATACTGGGTTTATTAGCAGCATATAACCCCAAAGGAGGTGCAGTTTGAAGTTGCTCAAATCCACATTCTTAGAATACTCTGGTATTTTTCTAGGGAAAGGGAGACTTGGTATCATCCCAACTCAAAGGCATCAGGAACTTCACAAAGAGCAGAGTGTTTTGGAGCCAGTGTCAAATCTAGGCAAGGAAGATGGGTTCTGTTTCACTTGTATCTTATGTACAGAATAATCTGCCTATACCGATTCTTCAAGTCTCCAGGCAATTTGTTACCCTTCAGAAAACGAAACCTATTTTTTTTCCTTTTCATTTCTACTCCAAGCAATTCAGGGGGATGCTCGTGAGAGCACACTCCTCCCTTCCCAGGTCCCCCAGCTCTGGAAATTCCAGTCTGTCGAGTTATGATGGTTTCCCCAGCTGACAGGACAGCAAACACACTTGTGTTTTTCCAGACCCTTTTCTGATCTCTTTCCCAAGACCTTTTCAGCTGCTAACCTCAGTTAGCAGTTGAAACAGTTGAAACAGCTGTTAACAACAGTTAACAGTTAACAACAGCTGCTGGAAAGCTCCTCCCTGAGGGAGGAGAGAAGACCTCATTGATTTTACAAGAATAATTTCACAACACACAAACAAACCAGGACTGTGCTGCTGCCGGGCGAGGAAGGGTGTCTGCAAACAAGAGCTGTGTGCATGACCCCCAGGGCTGTGCTGGATCATGTTTGCCTGTCGTTTGCCCTGGTGGAGATCCAGTGTCACCTGCAAGTCGTGGCAATCAGGTCACTTTGTGCCTTGGGGCAGCTGCCAAATGCTGACTGTTAAAGGAGTCAACACGACTGTGGGGCAGGAGCAACAGGCCGGCATGAAGGAAAAACAAATGTTAGAAGATTCGGAAATGCACCTCACAAGGAGAGACGCAGAGGCCCTCTTCCAAGAGCAGCCTAAGACTGGGAACCCGTACTTGGAAGACACTTTGCTTCAGAGTTACTTGAAAACACACCTTCCTCTCAAGGTCAGTTTGTATTCCTGCGTGTACCCAGCTGAGCCCCTGCCTCAGACTCTGAATTGAACATTTGTCTGAGCCTTTTTGTGCCTTTGAGTGTTCAACTGGAGGGAATTTATCAGCATTCCTTAAAACCTGTTGTGTTTGAGGGCAGGGGTGACAAACACTGCCAGGACACACAGAGCAATGGCTCAGTGGGCTCCTGCGACTGGGCTGGGTGTTGCAGTGCTCTTTTGGGACTGTCAGTGTGGGCATTTGCTGTCTGGTTATGTAGAGGAAGGAATTTCTGAGAGAGGAATCAGACTAAGATGCTTGCTAACTCTGATTTGTTCTTCCACCTCTCTTTCTGGGGAAAGAGGGAATTTAAAGAAAATTCGTAAGGACTGGGCTGTTCTCAGCCAAGTACTCAAGAAGGTGGAAAGGCCCCTCGGGGCTTGCTTGCTCCCAGCACAGGTTGGTGGCATTTCTGGGTTCATTTTTTCAGCCAGGAAAGGCTCTGTATGGATGTCAGGGGTGCAGATGGGGGTGTGAGGCCCCAGGCTCTGGATGTCGGTGCTGTGGGCTCCAGTCCTACAGGAAGCCCTGGGAAGAAGCTCACCTCTCTGGCTGGCCTCTGCCATCACCCCAAGGGCCACAAGTGCTTCCCGCTTTTCATGGAGCAGAGTGTGACCTCTCTCCATGCTTTATTCCAGCAGAAGCAATGCCATGACTCCTAAAGCCACCACATGATCAGAGGGGAGGGGACTTGGCTGTCAGTGAGGCTCCCACTTCCCCTGCTTGCTCTCCAGGTCTGTGAGGCCTGGCAGTCACAGTGTGGGAAGAGTGAGGTGGCAGTGCTGGGGGCTTGTCACAGCCATCCCAAAAGAGAGGAATGAGGCCTCCCTAAGCACCACCATGGCCTTCTTGGCAAAAAAGACAAGAATGGACAATGCCTTTGGGTAACCATGGAGGTCCTGCTCTAATCTGCACCTTTGGAAGAAGCATGATTCAGGTTTCCCAGAGAATAAAAGGATCAGAACAACGAGGCTGCTTCCACTCCTTCCTCCAAAACCTCCCAGAGAACCGGGAGCAGATTTTCCTTTCGTTTCTTCACTCAGTCCCAGCGGGGCAGTGTTGCCTCACTGCAGGAAAGGAGAGCCCTGAGCCCTGCAGCACGGAGCCTGCTCTCCATGGGAACACCTTCCTCTCCAGGACAGCAGCAACCCCTGAAGCTTTGGCTGTCCCACCGAACTCCTGTTGTGCTATTCCACGGCAAACACAGAAATTTTCTTGAAATGGCACAAAAATTTTCTTTCTCTGTTTAAAGGTGATTTAAGGAGAAGACTGAATTAAGCATCTGCTTTTTCTGGGTGTTGTTGTGAAGAGGGATCTGTCAGGCTTTGCTGCCCTGAAAACACATCCTTTAATATAAAGGATATCTATTGGCACTCCTAATGTGCATTAATTTTTACATTTCCCATATCTTCATGCCTGGGACATCAAAGGACAGATTAGGGTGAATGAGATCACCCAGCAGCCTCAGCCCTGACCCAAATGATTTTGTCCTCTCCACATCCCAGCGTCCTTTCTTTGGAGCACCAAGGCTGCTGTGTGTGACATTCAGCAGTCACAAGTGTAGGAGTTTTGGGTTTGTTCCTTCACCTTGGAAATAAACACATTTTTTTGGGTAATTTGGTGGTTTGGCAGGCTGTGTGTGGTGAGCTCCCAGTGAAGCAGTTGGGAGGTTTTAGGAAATATGGATGATGGCGAAGGGATTGTTGTATGAATTCCTTGCATGAACCCAGACCAAGAGATCTGCTTGGCAGACTCATGTTCTTCTGCCTGCAAAAACCCACCAGGTCAACAGTTCAAAGAGTCTTGTGCTTCAGCAAAGCCTTTGAACTTTGGATTCCTGGGTTATGCCTCGGAAACAACCTTCAAATTGTTGTCAGTGATAAAGATTAGAGGTTGCCCATGGTAAATATGGGTGTGGCATGAGCTGGAGCAGCTGACAGGCTCTCGTGCATGGTTTGGCTTGTTTTGTGATTTTTAACACTGTTTTGTTGCTCTGCTGAAGGAAAACTGGCTGGTCTGAGGATGGAGACTTCCAGAGTGGCACCTGGACAATGTGTGTTTGAACCTCATCACGCACATGGAATGGCAGAGGGAGGAAGGAATCAATCACACAGGGTGTGGATTAATGGAAGGTCAATACAGGGACAGGCAGGGAAAGGAAAAAGCCATGTTTGTACTTCATCAACAGAAAATTAATACGGGTTTATTATTGCACGATTTTCAGTACAGCAATTATGGCATTCATCTCCTTTATTATTTTATTGAGGAGGGAATGAGCATCTCTTGAGAGACAGAGAACAGCAAAAAATATTCCTCTCATGGAAGCAAATCAGGTGATTCTTTGACCCCAACACAGTCTTGGATGTGTTTAGGCCAATGAGGTGCAACAGGGCTGGAGGTTGGGTCCTCCTGCCTGATTTTAGTAATGTAATATTCAGGTTTTAAAATCTAGGTAACTTCACTTGGCTTTACTCCTGGGCATGAAAGGGAACTTGCAAAAGGCAATTCCTGTCACCCTGAAATAGGGATCTGAGGGGGCTGGAATCAATCACTCCTCTGTGAGTGCTGGTTTCCCTCCATTAACTACAGACGCATTACTCCATGCAGGTCAGCCAAGCCCAGCAGAAACGAGGGCACATGAATCCCTCAGGAGGGAATGAACCCTTCAGGAAGGATCCCTGGGTGCGGGGTGGGAATTTGAATCTAGACATGTTGTGTGCCAGGCTGAAGCTGAAAAGGCTGCTCCATCCCTCCTTTTCTCATCTGACAGGCAGGTAGCCGCTGAGCCCAGTGGAAGTTTTCCTGCACAGATGAAGGCATTCTGGTTTTGGCAGCCTTTCCCCTGGCATTCTTCTCCAGCAGTAAATCTTGGAGTGGCTGAGGGACCTCTGGAGACCGTCTCATCCAACCCCCCTGCTCGAGTGCATCTGTGTCATTCTCAGCCTTGACACTAAAGCGCTTCTGTCTTTTGTGGAATCCAGACACGCTGCCAAAAGTAACTTGAAAAAGTGATTTTGAGGGAAAATAGAGAAAAAGTGACAGCAGAGCACAGCTGTGCCAGCAGAGGCTGAGGGAGCTGCCGTGCTGTGTTATGGAATGCATGGAAGGGCCAAGTGGCAGGAGACCACTGGCACTGCAGGGCAGCATGGTCAGTCCTCTGCCCTTCCCGCTGGGTCTGAGGCTGGGATGTGCTGAAGGGCTCTCCTTGCTGCCCCACAGGTCCTGGAGGAGATGCATCAGAACCTGGAGAGGTTTGGAAAGCGGCTGCTGAACGAGATCCAGCCTCTGGGCTGGGAATGTGAGCTGAACCCCCCCGTGTTCCGGCAGTTCGACGCCTGGGGGCGGCGCGTGGATCACATCCACACCTGCTTGGCGTGGAGGAGGATGAAGGAGATTTCAGCGGAAGAAGGGCTGATTGCTGAGGCCTATGAGAGAAGATACACCCACTGGAGGTAACTGGGGCAAATTGGGAATGACTCAGGGCCTTCCTGATTGTTCTTAGCAAGGTTTATTCAGCGTTTTGCAGGACTGAGCTGGTTGTGTAACCAGTAGCAGATGCTGCACGGACACCAGCACACCTCCTGCTGTCCCCAGCAGCTCTGTCTGTCCACTGCAATGTTCCACCTCACCAATGATAAGCCATAACTAATGGCCCACACTTGATCATAATATTCTTTGATGTCACCTTCCTGATTGTGGGGCCTGGCAGTTCCCTGCACCACTCCAGCTTTGTGAGTGTTAGTTGTAATGCAGCTGAAGATGTGGGATTTTACTCACAGGTGTTTTGTATTCCAGACCATGGAGACAGACCCACATTTCTTATTGTTAAAAACTGCACAAGCTGGCCTGGTGCTGGCTGTCCCACTGGGACTGAGAAACTCTGCTGCTCCTCTTCCCTCTTCCTGGCTGGAACAGATTTTGCCCTCTCAGAAATGAGTGGTCTGATCCTCACTGGTTCTGGCTGTAATTTTTCCTCTCTTCCCAGTCAAGGTATTTTATCCTCGTGCTGTTGCACTGCTGTGTAACCCATCTGTTTTCCCTCTGTCTCTCCCTCTCCCAGCCGCCTGTACCAGGCTGTCAAACTGTACTTGTTCTCAAGCTCCTCTGGAGGTTTCAGCTGTCCACTGGCCATGACTGATGGGGCAGCCAAAGTCATTGAGGTATGAGCTTGGCTGGTCCCTGAGGGCACAGCCCACGTCCTGGCACTGCAGGTTAGAGGCAGGAGCACCGATCCATCTGGTTCTGGGCACTGCCCTTCCTTGCTCTGTGACTCAGCTCTGTCTCCCACTGCCCTTCTCCATGAGGTACAAAGCCTCTGTGCCCATGCCAACTTTTATATTCACTGACAGCACTGTGTTCAATAAAACCTTTGCTGCACATGGCACCTGTGGCACTGCAGGTAGCTGGAAAGGTGTCCCAAGTGGAAGTGTCCAAGGCCGGGTTGGACAGGGCTTGGAGCAACCTGGGATAGAAGGAGGTGTCTCTGCCCATGGCAGGGGGTGGGACTGGGTGAGATTTAAGACCCCTTACAACCCAAACCATTCTGGTTTTCTATCATCCTATGAATACATTTTTACTACAAGACAATTTGTTTTCCCATATTTGTGTGGAGTGGCAGTTAAGTGTAATAGGCCAGATCCATAGCTGGTGTAAATTCACCAAACCACCAAGACTTTACCAATAATGTTTGGCTCTGCATCTTAGTGACCCCCCTTGCATTGCCTCAGTGGCTATGTAGGATTGAGAGGAAAATATCCCTTAGGTAGCCAACCCTGGGCATTTAAATTCACAATAACTTAAAGCAGCACGAGGCAGTTCCCTCTTCCCTGATGTCTCTGGGTGCTGGTGACATCCAGCATACATGAACCTGGCACATGGGCTGTTTGAGACCTCTCTCCCCAGAAATCCAAGGGGATAGGGATGCTCAGCACTTTGTGTTGTAACACAGCCTGCTCCTTGTCTGCACAGTGCTGCAGCAGCTGGTGGGAGCTGTGCTGGCTCCCAGGCTCTCAGCAGCACCTGCAGATCCTCTGCAGTGCAGGACACCCACCTGGCTTCCACCCACCTGGCTGAGCCCTGAACACAGCAGTTAAGGCAACTGGGTAACGTCAACTATTGTGTTGTGAGCATCTCAGTTTATTTTCTCTCCCCTCAAACAGTCACTGGGGATTCCTGGGTCTCTGAAAAATGCCTTTGACCGTCTGACATCCCGTGACCCTGAGATGTTCTGGACGTCTGGCCAGTGGATGACGGAGCGAAGGGGTGGCTCCGATGTCGGTACGTGCTGTGGGGTGGGAGCAGGGGTGGCAGTGAGGACAGAACACAAAGGATGTGGGGAACCTAAAAAGCCAGGGAGCTTTAGGACTTCAGCAGAAATCATGCAAATCCTCTGCACAGCTCTGCTTTTTAACCAACAAAAGACCCAATCTCTGTCCTCTTGTGCACACAGAGCCCTTTGTGTTCTTGGCTGAGGTAACTCCTGAAGAACTGGATTATACACACTGGATTTCTTATCGAGGGTCAATGAAAGAGATTAACAGCTAACCCATGCTCCATCTTCATGGCAAGAAGTGCCTTAAAGGGCACTTTGTGCTGCTTATGCTGTAAAATCAGCATTGATTGACACAGACGCTCCCACAAGACCAGGAAATTTTCTCCTCTTTTTCAGCAAATGGCACTGAGACCGTGGCCAGGAAGCAGCCGGATGGCTCCTATCGTCTGTATGGGTTTAAGTGGTTCACATCAGCAGCTGATTCTGACATGGCACTGACCCTGGCCAGGATAGCAGATGCTGAAGGACAGGTAAACCAGTTCTGTTGGCTGGGGAACCAGGGGAAGGAGCAGGGGCATTCTTTTTCTTCCTTGTTGCATTGTAATAGAATCCTCTCTGTGCCTTGCAGTGTACCCAGGGCTCCAGAGGCCTGTCCTTGTTCTTCCTGAGGGTTCGGGATGAGCAGGGGAAGCTGAACAACATCCAGGTGCAAAGGCTGAAGGACAAGCTGGGCACGAGGCAGATGGCAACAGCAGAGCTGTGGCTGCAAGGAGCCAGAGCAGAGCTGGTGTGTAAGAGTTCTGGGCTGCCCTGGCATGGCACTCACTCCTGGGCTTTTAGCAGAGATCCCAACTGGAAAACTTCCTCTCTTCCACCTCTGTGGCTTGGCTGTCCACATCACAGAACAAATCACTGGTGGGGCTCCGTGTGAGGCAGAGCTGAGAAGAGTTCAGGAAAAGATGTGAGAGAAGACAACAAAAAAATATAAATATGTTATTTTAGGCTGGTCATTTCTCTAATCCTGGTCCTGAGCCAGCAGAGGGACAGTTTGTGTAGTGTGCAGGTGGGAGCAAGAAGCAGGAAACAGAACTGATCATGCTGACATGGTCTCCAAAAGCCACTTCTCTGGTCATAAAAACAGAATCCCAGGATAGGATGGGTAGGAAGGGACCTTAAAGCTCATCTCATTCCAACCCTTGCCATGGGCAGAGACACCTTCCACCAGACCAGGCTGCTCCAAGTCCCATCCAGCCTGGTCTGGGACACTTCCAAGGGAACCACATCACACCACAGACTTGGCCAAAATGAGACAAATGTATTTGAAAGCAAGCAGGTCTCTGAGTGCCTGAGGGCAGGCAGGGGCAGAGTGGACAGCCATGTCTATGTGTCTGTTAACACCATTTCCATTCCCATATCCATCCCTATCCAAGGAAAGGCTCATGTCAGCCCTTGTTCCTTGCAGATCTCTGCAGAGGGCCGGGGAGTGGCCGCCATCGCCAACATGCTGAACATCACTCGGATCCACAACGTCATTGGGGCAGTGGCTGCCATGAGAAGGTGAAGGAAGGCAGCACAGATGCCCCCAGGGCTGAAGGAGCAGGACAAGGGCACTTTGCAGTGCATGGCATTGAGCCAAGTGTCCCCTTTGTGGGCCAGGCCTGGAGCCAGCAGTGCTGCAGGAGGAGGGTGACCTGTGGGTGGGTGACCTGTACAGGTGTGGTACAGCTGAGCAGGGCTCTTGTGGTGGAGGGGGCTGGAAGGGAATGCTCAGAAGTGGAAAGCTGCTGGTGTAGCTGTTCCCTGTGCTGTTCCCACCCTCCAGGATGATCAGTCTGAGCAGGGACTACGCCTGCAAGCGCGTGGCCTTCGGGAAGCTGCTCAAGAACCATCCCCTGCACGTGCAGACAATGGCCCGGATGGAGGTGAGGCTTCTGGGAGCCAAGTTGGACCTGTTGGGAGGGAAAGAGGGCAGAGATTCTGTGCTGTTAGTGAGCACAGCCTGCCTGCACTCAGATTTAGGAGGCCATTCCTGCTACAGCAAAGTGGATGCAGCAAGGGAATGGTTTTACTCTAGTGGGATCTGATAACAGACCTAACTCCTCTGCTGGACTTCAGGTTGTCCTAACAATTACCTGGGAGTTTCCCTGGGAGAAAGGAGTGCCCTTACTATGATAAGCCATGACCTCTGAGGTTGGGTGTTGGCCTCAGAGTCCAGGCCTGACACCACAGTCACCTGACTCTTGTCCAAGACTGGTATGGGCTCATCCAGCTTCCCTGGGAGATCCTGTCCCAGGAGATGGGCTGTAAACAGTATTTAAAAATTCTCTTGCAAGGTGGGGGAAGGTGGTCAACATCTGTCAAACATGACTTCAGGCTCCAGCATCTCATTGTCTGTGGCAGAACTCCCTCTCTGAATGGAAGGGCAGGTCCTACCTTGTCCCACATCACACAGCTCTGTACCCTGATGCTTCCCAAATCAAAACTTGCCAGGGAAGTAACCTGCTCAGGCAGAAATCTGTCACAGACTTTGCAGCTCCAGGTGCTCAGAGGCTGACCATCATCTCACATCCCTTACCTTTTGAAAATATGCAGATTTGGGGCCTGGATGCCTTTTAGGAGCTTTGTTAAGGCTCAAGTAGGCCTGATGTAGTGCACTCCCCCTTTACTGCATCACAGTGTCCAAGAGTGGCAGAGAACCTTTGATATTCCATCCTTTGTGCCTTGGCTGCTCAGAGTCCCTGAAGCTGTGGGTCTGAGCAGGCAGGGGTGGCATTTTCCCCTGGAGTCAGCAGAGTCCCAGACCCCTGCCAGGAATCTGTCCTGTGCTCACAGGTGCAGGTGAGAGGGGCGTTCCTGCTGCTCATGGACATCGTTCGCCTGCTGGGCCTGACTGAAACCAACCTGGCCAGTGAGCAGGAGCAGCTGCTGCTGAGGCTGCTCATCCCAGTGGCCAAGCTGTACACAGGGAAGCAGGTATGGAGCACATTGATTAGCCCAGTGTGGAATGTTGGCAAGCACAGAGCTGGGAGGAGGAGTGAGTGACAGAGCAGGGAGAGCAGGGGACACCTGCAGGACCTGCAGCAGTTCCTGCTCTGGAGCCTCCTGCTCCTGCAGGTCCCCTCTCTGTGTCACTCAGGCTTCATTCCCTGTTGGAATAATTACCAGTACAGCTGGACAGGAGGTGCCTGAGCTTGTCTGGTCCTTGGTGCTGAACCAGCTGTGGTGTTTCACCCCACAGACACTTTTGGCTGGTGGTGTGTGGTGTTTGACCCCACATACACTTTGGGCTGTGGGTGTGTGGTGTTTCACCCCACAGACACTTTTGGCTGTCTGGGTGCTGCACTGGGCCCGTGGGGACAAGGCCAGGCCTGCAGGAGCTCTGGTGGTGCTGGGATGGAGCTTCCCCCCATACCAGGGGCTGCTCCTCAGGTTTCCCTCTGTGGAGAAGCTTTAAGGGGATGGTGAAGGAAAGGAGTCGGTTCTGATGGAGGGTTTGGATCCAGAGCTTTATTCTGGCCCACAGGCCTCTGAATGCAGCACCAGCTCCAACAGAACTCCCTGAGCCCGTGGTTGCTGCTCCTTTAACCCTGGGGAGAGGGGCAGGGAAGGGGCAGGGAGCCACCAAGCAGGGACAGGAGGGGAGGGACAAAGGGACAAAGGACACCTGGATGGCCCAATGGCCCCCAGGGGTAGAGGGCATCCTTTGGATCTGCCAGTCACTCAATGCCCTTCTGGAATTCCAGGATTGACAGTGATGGGAGGGGAAAGGAGAGGTGACTGACACACCTGGGAGGGAATTATCAGGGGAGGGACCCAAGGTAAACCCTGAAATGACAATGCAACAACTCCCATCTGCTCCTCCTGCAGGTAATGACCAACCTGCCTCAGGAGATGAGCAGGACCCAGTCAGCCCATCCAGCAGGAGCTGCTGTGTGCTGTGGGAGGTTGGATTTTCCCCTCAGGCTCTGTGGATCATGCCAGCTCTCTGCATTTTGCAGGCTTCTGCTGTGGCTATTGAGGCAATGGAGAGTTTTGGGGGCCAGGGTTACATGGAGGACACAGGCTTGCCAGTCATACTCCGGGATGCTCTGGTAAGAGGGTGGCAGGACAAGGTCCTGTGTGCCACCAAGTCCCCTGCACTGCACTCTGGTTCCCTGCTAAAGACACACCCAAGGGAGAACAGAGCCCTGCCAGGCTCACTCCAGGTGTGCCAGCTCCTCCCTCACTGCCTGCCTGCTGAGCCCAGGGAAGGACAGGAGGTGTTCCTGGTGCTGAGGCTGCTCCTAGCACAGCAATGGAGCTGGGCTCACTGCTCCCTTCCACTTGTTGTGAGACCAGACATCTCTGGAGATATCCTTGATATCCCTGTGTCTGTTCCCTCCCACTCCCCTTCTCTGCTGCAGTCACTGCAAAGGCTCCTGCTGCTCTCCCACACAGGTGCTGTCCATATGGGAGGGAACCACCAATGTCCTGTCCCTGGATGTGCTGCGGTCCCTGGCCAAGAGCCAAGGGCAGGTGATGGCTGTGTTCCTGTCCACAGTGAAGGTGAGCCCCAGCCCTGCTCAGCCTCACCTTCTCTGGGCTTTGTGCTCCTGCCTGAGGCTGGCAGGGAACAGGCCCAAACTGAAGCTTTAGACAAGTATTCCAACAATTGGGATTGTATCTCACAATTGTGCTCCTTAAATAGCTCTTCCAAAAGCAGGATGCAGGCAGTGCTAATCCTGGGATGCTTGTGTGCTTTCAGCTCAGCAGTGGGGAGCTTGGCACTGTCAGAATTCCTCAAGACAGGTACCAAAATAAGTGTATTTTTAATGTGACTCACCTTCCTGAATCCAAAATAATTTTGTGGTTTTGTGTCTTAACTGGAAAATCACCACAGGACTGCTGAATATTGAACCTCACTAGGGCTATCTACTGCATTATGACTTTCTATTTTTATTCCCTGAAAAGATGGAAAGAGCCAAAGGAATTCCATTTCTGCCTCTTTGGATTTGCTGTTCTCTGGCTCCACTTTTAAAGAGTGACAGGAGTTCAAAGCAGCTCAGTTTCATGAAGGTGAAGGAGCATCTGGCTTGGTGCATCCCAAAAAGGGAGACAGGAGGCAGGATCAGAGGGCGTTGTGTCAGAGGTGACATTATTAATCCAGACACAGCAACCCAAATCTTGTCAGCCCAGGCACAGCAGGGGAATCCTGGGCATCTGGATTTGGTGTTGTGCAGCCTTCACCTTCGCCATGAGAAGGGAAGAGTCTGGGACAGTGCTGTCCTCCAGCACTGGGCACTGGACAGAGCTGTGCAGAGCAGCTCTCACAGTGGCTGCAGCTGGCAGCTTGTGTCCCATGCCACCCCCAGCTGAGCTGAGCTCTGGGCACAGCACTCTGTGCCCTCCAGGGGTGAGGGCCCCCTGCCACCCTCTCACACAACTTCTGGGGAGGCAGAAATACCTCCCATGATTTGAGCACCACACAAGAAGCCAGACCTGCTCAGGAGCAGCACTGAGCACATCTGCTGGGGGCAAATCCAGCTGTTGGCAAACAGCTGCTTAGGCTGACACTGCAGGTAATGGATGGGGAAGTAAAGGAGCTGTGGGTGGGCTCTAAAATAATTTGGAAAGAAGCAGCCTCCACAGTCTTAGACTGATTTAAACAAACAGCCCCCAAAGGTGCTGTGCTGCACCCTGGAGCAGCTCCCTGGTGCAGCTGGGAGGGCCCCTCCAGCTGCTCAACATCTGGATAATCAGGGAGCACTGGGGAGCATTGGTGAGCACAGCTGTGATGCAGAGCAGGGACCCACAGAGCACAAACAGGAGCGCTGAGATTCATTAATTAACGAGCTCCTCAGTGCTGCCATCAATCACGCTGTGGGCGAGGCTGCAGGGGAGGGGGAGAGCTGCCTTCAAGGTCTCCACATTCCAGGAATGCCCCTGCCTTCCCTGTCCCTGTCACTCTGAGGCTGCTGCATGTCCTGAGCTCAGCAGTGAGGGTGCTCCAGCTCTGGAGAGAATCAGACCTGGCCAGTTCAAGCTGTTCCTTTATGCCTCGGGCAGCCAGGTGCTGGAGAGGCAGCCTGGGAGGGGTTTCTGTCTGCAGGGTTCTGCAGGAACGTGCTTGAGTTTCTACACCAGAATCAGGTTTTCACTCACAGGTGATAAACAACATCTTTCTGAGCTCCAGGTGTCCAAATTCTTTCAGTCTGGGAGTCTGGTTCATTTTGAAACATCCCTCCCAATCCTGTCTACTGAGGAAATAATTTAACCCATCGTAAAGGGGTTTTTACTGCCCCAATCCATTTCCTTTTTATTGATGCACACAAACCGAGTACAATTCATTTTATGTTTGTCCATCAGGGTTCTCAGTGTGCAGGACTTGTGCCCATTGTCAGAGGCTCTGCAGAAAACAACATTAGTTCCTGTACAGCTCTTGGTTTTCTGAAAGTCATTTCAAGGGTAGCTCCAGGTTTTGCTTCTATCCTCTATCAGTTGTCTCTGCTGATGGTGAGATGCCCAGTGCTGCTGGGGCTGTGATCAGGAGCAGGAACCAAGGGTTGTAATTATCATCAGGAAAAGGGAAATACAGAGAACTTCCCCATCCTTGCACAGTGTGACTATGAGAAGGTGAATTTTTAGGGTTTTTAATACACAAGTGAGTTTGTGACAAACCACATTGTCTAGAGGTTCTGAGTCTGGAAATCCTGGGGAGAAGAGTGAGTGTGAGAGACAGGGATGGAACCATGGAATGGTTTGGGGTGGAAGGGACATAAAAACACCTCCCATCCCACCCCTGCCACTTCCCACTGTCCCAGGCTGCTCCAGCCCCAATGTCCAGCCTGGCCTTGGGCACTGCCAGGGATCCAGGATGGGCACCCTGTGCCAGGGCCTGCCCACCCTGCCAGGGAACAATTCCCCATTCCCAATATCCCATCCATCCCTGCCCTCTGGCACTGGGAGCCATTCCCTGTGTCCTGTCCCTCCATCCCTTGTCCCCAGTCCCTCTCCAGCTCTCCTGGAGCCCCTTCAGGCCCTGCCAGGGGCTCTGAGCTCTCCCTGGAGCCTTCTCCTCTCCAGGTGAGCACCCCCAGCTCTCCCAGCCTGGCTCCAGCCCTCACAGCATCTCTGGTGCCTCCTCTGGGCTCTCTCCAGCAGCTCCAGGTCCCTCCTGTGCTGTGCCCAGGGCTGGGGCAGCTCTGCTGTCTCACCTGGGCAGGGCAGAGGGGCAGAATCCCCCCTCCCTGCTGCCCATGGTTTGGGATCAGTCCAGGACACATCCTGACTTCCAGCTCTGCTGTGGTGAGAATTCCAGGTGGATACTGCACAGGGCCAGTCAGTTCGTGTTCTACTAAAATTTTATTAGCTGGATTTTTGAGCCAGAGCCCTGGGTGTACTTTCAAATTCAATTACAACCTGAGAAGTGCCTCTAAAATAGCTCAGGGCAGTTTGTTGGTTGTTGCATTTGAGTCACTGCAGGTGAAATTTGGGCACATCCCAGGACAGGGTCTCAGCACCAGCCCTGCACGTGTCGTGCAGGCTCAGAATCAACTCTTGCCTCAAGAATTTCTGTGTAGGGCTGTAATTCAGGCTGCAACTCAGGCTGTAAATCAGCCCTGCAATCTCAGACATATGACAGTGTTTTCAGGTCCTTTTCAGACCACAACCCCAATTTTCAGGCAGCAGAAAACAAATGGAGGTTATTGATGTGGGGCCATGTGTTTGCTCCAAGCACTGACACAAAACTGTGCTTTTAGCCCTGCTTGGGATGTTCCTCCTGTCACTGTATTTTTAGATAGTCATGATTAATCTTGTAAGTAAAAACCACTCTGGCCACATGGCTTGGGAGCCAGTGAGAGCAAACAAACAAGCAGCATCTTAAGATGCCTCCATGAGAACAGAGGGAATCAGAACCATTGAGCTCTGCAGCTCCTTTGCTGATCCTTTGAGGCAGTGAGGGGTGGTGGGGCAGTGGTGCTGTGGGTGCCTCCTCCCTGAGCTGGAGCACAGCAACCAGCAGAGAACAGGAGCTGCTCCTGCCTCGAGCATTGCCCTGGAGCAGCTCCCAGCCTCTCCATCCCAAGTGCAGAGAGAGCATGGAAAAACCTTCCAGAAAATCCAGGGCTTTTGGTTAGGAAAGGAATAAGTGCAATTGGGAAAAAAAAAATTATTATTGGCCAGCAAAGAAAATACAAGTTCTTTTTTATCCTTTGAGGACAAATGATGCTTTTCCATTCCTGATCCGCATTTCCAGGTGTTCATCCTCCAGCTGTGGCAGTGTGTCTGTCCCAGCCACAACAGCAGGTGTTTGTGTTGTCCCCATGCTTGGCTGGAGCTGTGCTGGCTCCCACCCAGCCTGTGGGAGCTGATGCCTCTGGGATCTGTGATCCTCATTAGCAACAACCTCTGGGCTATTCAGAGCACCTCATTGGTGTTCCATGGCCTTGGAGGTGTGTGGGATTTATGTTGTCACTGGAGTTGTTGTGTTTGACCAGCACATGCTGGGGGTGTTTCTGCCCCTGGAGCAGCAGCACTGGGAAGTGTGGAAGTGTGGAAGTGTTGGGGTGTGAGCACTCAGAACACACAGAGCAAACGTGGGCTCAGCCCAGCCCAGATGGAATCGCTGGCCCAGTAAGAGGAGCTGCAGCACTGAAAGCCTCGGAAACATAAAAAATTCCTCCTGTGTAGCTGCTGCTCACAGGCTTTAGTCTCGTCTGCAGGTTATTGATGGAGTTAATTAATGAACAGCACCTCCCAGCACGTTGAGCTGCTCACATGCAGCCTTTGGGGAAGCTCTCCAGGCTGATCCCTCAGTCCTGCTGCAGAGAGAGGGGCTGGAGTGAGGGAAGGTGGGACCACAGCCCCCAGCACAGGCACTGTCCCATCCCTGCTAACGGGGAACAGCACGGGATGAGCAGTGTGGGAATGCCCAAAGAACAATTCCAGACTCTCAGCAGGGTATCCTGGTGCTTTCACAAGGGATTTGGGATGTGGCAGAACAGAAGCTCAGCTCAGCCAAGGGAGGGTTCAGGCAGTGCTGCTGGCACAGTAAATTCCCAATCTTCATCAGAATCACAGAATCCTTTAGGCTGGAAAAACCCTCTGAGATCAAATCCAGCCAATCCCCAGCACTGCCAAGGCCACCACTGCCCCATGTCCCCAAGTGCCACATCCACATGACTTTTACATCCCTCCAGGGATGGAGATCCACCACTGCCCTGGGCAGCTGTGCCAGTGCCTGACCGCCCTTTCAGTGAGGAAATTTTCTCAAATATCCAACTGGAACCTCTCCCAGTGGAGCTTGAAGCCATTTCCTCTTGTCCTGGGGCCTTTCCCACTGACACAATTTGGAGAGGAAAGCTCCTTTAAATGTGAATTTTCCTGCCTGGACACAGCTGGAGCATATTTGTGCAAGTTATTATATAATCCTGAAAGAATTAGCCCTGATACAGGTATAGAGTTAGAGAGAACTGGGGATGAGAGCTGGTCCCAGGTGCAACTGGAAAGCCAGAATGGAAACAGCAACGTGCTGGCTCTGCTCTCAGGGAATTCTCCCTCCCCAGAGCAAGGCTGGGAGCTTCCTTTGGGCACATCCCCTTCCCTGGCTGCTCCCCCTGTGCCAGGGCAGCCACCTGGAGCTGTTGTCAGCAGCTGGGTGTGCCCAGGGTCCCAGCAGCCCCTTCCCTGGCACAAGGCAGATACACTGGAATTTTTCCTGTGCTTGTTCTCTCTGCAGAAAAAGCTGGAGCTGGCTTCAGGCATTAAGGAGCTGTCCCCAGCGGCACAGAGGGCACAGGAAGCCATCGGGAGCCTCCAGCAGTTCATGACAAACATGGGCATAGGGCGGGCACTGAGCATGGAGCTGGCAGCCAGGGACTTCTCCTACAGCCTGGCACGGATCTACACAGGCAGGGCAACACGGGAACCACAGAGCCGTGGCATGGGCTGGGTGGGAAGGGACCTTAAAGCCCATCCAGTGCCACCCTGCCATGGCAGGGACACCTCCCACTGTCCCAGGCTGCTCCAGCCCCAATGTCCAGCCTGGCCTTGGGCACTGCCAGGGATCCAGGATGGGCA